ACGCACGTCATCCATGTATAAAAGATCTATATTGAATGAATACAGACGAATATGTCAACGGTTCGTACTCGTCCACGAATAACTCGGCGAGTTGTTCATCCAATAATTTAAACGTGCCATAAGAAACTTTTATACGTGGTGGAGCCATGCTGCATCTATATTATGGTTGTAGCACGAATGGGTCGGCTCGACCGGGGAAGGACCACGCTCTCACAGAATACCAGCGTAAAATAGCAGCTTAACGCTGCTGTGTTTCGTATGGTCAGTGTAGAGAATCGGAGACCCTTTTTACTGGAAACGAGGCATTCCATCTTAGTCCTCACGGGTGACAACGCATCTGCATTTTGACTCTTAATCGAAGATAGATGTAGATGTCTATAGGCCACAGCGGCCACTTACCATCAGATGGACTGTGTGCTCTTTTGTCACCCTTATCCTATAAAAGAAACAGAATGAATTTCATAGTGTTGCCAGATCACTCTGTGACTGTAGATAAATACTACTCATGCGTACGGAAATATATACGAATAACTAAACTTTTAATAACATTGTTAAAGTTTGCGAGGTCCCATCAGGCGCGAGGCCATCGGCGGTCGCCGACAACGCCTAGCGCCGCCACTGTTCGGATTACTATGAAATTTATAGTGAGCTTTTTGCTCTTGTCTGCCTAAGTTGTAATAATAAGTATTAGGTATAATGATCCATGTACAAACTTGTATCCAAACATGTTTTTTTTTTTAATTTTCCCGTCTTCCTAAATATAGGGTTGTGTTTGTTTTGAAGATATTAGGACAATTAATTGTAAACGCCTTTTATTAGCAAAGGATAATCTAATCACTAAGTCTATAATTAATTTTTTATAATGACCTACGCCAATGCGATAGAATTTCCAAACAATGCCCACCCAAATGTATGAATTCGGATGTCAATTTGATTGACACTATGCATACTAACTGGTTACATGCGTGGCCTTACTGCAGTTGTGATCAGAAAACAAATATATATCTAGAAAAAAAGGCGTTAATCAGTATGGCAGCAACTTGTTCTTTATCCCTTAACCTTCGTGACAACTAATAGAGTGTCGTGTGTGAATGATAATTTCACTTGAATTATGTTTGATTTATATTCTTAGTCAGTGGTACTGTAGAGCTTAAGTAAATCCTTCGAATGCTTAGTAATTGGTATAAAATTTTCATCAGAGCGACAATTTGCATATCAATTGTTGCGATGGCAATAAATCCTCTCAACTATAGAAGCAGCCTAAATTATGAAGTAAATTGCTAAGGCTGGAGCTTACCAAATGTCCGTGGGACACATAGAAAAGCTTACACTGCTTTCGTTTACATGTGCTGTACCTACACGTAACGCAGGCAGTGTGACGTCTTACATAGAGTTTCATGTATTAAAACTAGCCGCACAAGTTATCTGAAAGAAACAAAAGAAAACCTCTAAGTTTGTGTCTGTTCGTAAGTCTGCTGAAGTGGTAACTTAAGAGAATCCACCAGCCCATTTCGTCCCGTAGGTGTCGTAGGAGGCAACTATGGAAAATGCGAAAAACCTTATGGCTTCTTATAAATTACTTGGACCGTCATCGTCGTTTACGCCATATGCAGAATATTCAGGCCGGCGACGGGCAGCAGTGCCAACGGTGCGAGATGTCCGGTACTGCGATCGTCCTACAACGGGAACGATCCATCTCCATCAGTTGACATGTATGATTAATGACGTGTAATGATAACGCTGATGTTAGATCAAACATACACACATCAACAGAATCTAGGGATACCTTAATCCTAAATTATTTACGACTTTATAGTTAAAAATCTTTTTAGTTTCCATAAAATGCTTATATAGAGATTGAAACCTCTTTTATTCTATGTTCAAAATTAAAAAATGTAAATAAAAAAGAAAACAAAAGCAAAACAAAATATGGAGACAAAATTGTTAGTAATTCGTTACGTCAAGGAAAATTAAAATTGTTCTACTGATATTAATTAATAAAAATGGATTAGATTGTTTTTCTTTTTTAATTTAAAGTGCCGTGTGAGCTTTTAAGAGTCATGTCACGTCGTCATTTGAGTCCAGATAAAATGTTACGAGCCGTGGGCATGTTAGAAAATGGTGCTATTCAACGCGTCGTTGCTGAGGCCTACACACCAGCCTAAACGTGATATCAAGGTTGTGGTCACGTTATCGCAGTACTGGGGATGTGGCTGAACGGCACACGGGTAAATATCGTGGTACTACCCAGAGACAGGATCAATTTCACCAAATGACCGCCAGAAGACAACCCAATATCACAGCGATGCAATTACTACAAAGGCTCCAGGAGGACCATCAGCTGCTGTTAAGCGACCAAACCGTGCCAAGGAGGTTGCATGAAGTTGGTCTTCATGCTCGAACACCGCTACGTGTTCCAGCATTGCGCCGTGGCAATCGCGGACGGCGACTTTCGTGGGCTCGGGAGCATTTACCATGGAGTGATGAACAATGGTCTTTGGTGCTGTTCACCGATGAGTCCCGGTTTGGGTTTGATCCGGATTCACGAAGAACACGCGTTTGGAGAACTTCAGGGAGAGTTAGCCATCTACGGCACCCTCAGGAGGTCCACTCCATACCAAGGCGAGACAATCATGGTGTGGGCAGGAATTCGTCTTGGCGGACGAACCCAGCTCGTTTGGATCCAAGGCTGCATGACTGCACAAAAATACCACGAGGAGGTAGTAGAGCCTGTTATTGTCCCAAACAGGATTCAAAAGGAAGAATTCGAATTCGATTCGAAGGAATTTCTACACATGCACGATAACGCTCCCTTCCCACAAAGCGCGGCTGGTGTCTGAGAGATTTCCCGCCAAATTTGACGACGGAACAACTGCTTTACGAACACTTGCAAAGAACATGGTACCTCATACCGCAGCAAGACATTGGCAATTTATTTTTAAGTATGAACCATCAATGTCAATGTAAGAGGTGGCAATACTGATTCTTAATAATTAGATTTTATAAAAAAACAATTTTAATTAAAGTTAATAGTTTTATAAGAAGAAATTTTTTTTTTATCATACTTATTTTCTACGGCGATTAAAAATGCTGGCATTTTTATTTAAAACAAAAATTACGAAATGTTTTCTTATTTTTTATTAAATACCTTAAAATAACCTATCATTCTTCCATTCACTATATCAGAATATTCATCATAGATTTTTGGATATTTAATGAAATATAAAATATCATTAGTTACGCCGTGACGCTAGCTAAAGAAAAGCCCATTCATGTTTGCCTTGGAATTAAAAACCAGGTATTATTAGGTATTTTTTTGGTCAGTGTTACTGCATTAAGCATGAAATTATATTTTAAGTTTAAAACAATATGAACATGATGTCATATTTATTTTTTTATTGCACACCATACAATAAAAATTCATAGCACCTAGCACAAGTTTTCTTAAGTTCTGTCATTTATAATTTAGTAATTGTGTAAATATTCTCATACTCCCTCCCTCGCACTGTAGCTAAGAGTACCTAAGTAAACTACTACGCCCGAGTTTTACAGGCTCGCGTAGCTTAAGAGATTTAAAAAAAAAACAATGAAAATTACTTTACTAATCTTTAATATACATTGATGATTTATAAACTATGTAATAACTTAAAGGAAGTATTAATTTAAGTACGTACAAAATCAGAAAGTTCTAAACAAGAAAATAAATTGATACTGTGTATTATGAAAAAAAATCATAATTATCTTCAGTACAATTTAACAAACATGTTTGTTTTTAAAATAATTAAGTCGTTAAATTTCTTCAAAATAAATATAAATATGACTAATATATTTTATTCAATAATAATCTCACAAATCTATTCTTACATAAATTTACTATTTCTGAAAAAAAAAGTTAAAATAGGTCGGCATTTCTTTTTTATCTTTAAACCTTAGTTCTAAAGATTCTTTTGCATTATTACTTTAGATTCATTTTTATAAATTAAAATTTCGAACTGACGGGCATCAAATCATCATTTGAAAATATTTTAAATTTCTAAAACATGCCGTTTTCACAAGATGTTTTCCTCCAACTTTAGTTGTGCCGACAGGGACTGAACTCGAACTGTTTGTTTCTAAGGAAGGTAACACAAGGGTCCGGCCTTGTGTTACCAATTCCCGTAGTTGTCAAACCGAGTCTTTACAGTTCAATAACCGTCCAAGAAATGAGAGAAAGCTTGTGTCTTGCAGTTGCACAGCGCATTTACATATTCCAGAAAAATTGCCTTGCTATAACTTGCTAACTAATGTGTAAATAGAGCGTAATGTTTTAATTACATACAACTATAATAATTAAGAAATAAATTATTTTATTTTCAGCACTTTGGGATAGATAATTTACTCACAATCAAGGACACAGGGTTCCAACTACTTTTCTTTAATTCTAAAATTCTAAACATCGATTTTGCGAGTAAAATATGACAAGAAAAACATTCATTCAACACTTCTTTTAATAATAATTAACTTACGCATTTCAATAAATACAGACTTACTACAAAATCAAGCTGATCATTAGGTAAACTGAAATAAAGAAGGTATAGTATACAGTACCTACTTCCGCAGGACCTTTTTTGGCTTAAAGTTAAATGCTGTTAATTGCAAAGCAACACTTTTCTTTCCGAATAATGTAATTATAGAAACACGAAGTGATTTTTTCTTCTATTTTTTGAATATAATGAAATAGAAATGAAGGATATTTCATTTTGAATCCATTTAAAGATATCTTGTTAAAGTATACCACAAGACATAATTTGTTGCTTTCCTTAGCTTGCTGTCAATCAAGGGAGCACTGAGGCATATGAAGCTGATAATAGAAATACATACTTCACCAAATTATGGTGTAGCCATCGAAATTACAAACTAAAACACATTTCACACAATGTGTGACCAAATAAATACAGGAACTTTTATATTCCAGTGCTATGTTTATATTACACAAAAAACACTTAAGCTTATGACTTAGATCACAGACAGTAAACAAATGTCCAATACACAATGTTAAAGAAGATGAATAGCAGAGGGAACAGAATACGGGAGCGTTTGTCGATCCACGTGGCAATTTCCTGTGGCGTCATAGTAGTCCAAGTGTGGTGCTTAGGCGGTTCGTCAGAACCCTCACTACCACCAGACCGCTGGCCGCGCCCACCCTGGCCAGATATTAACTCGTCGTAACTTTGTGTTGTGATAGTTGGCAAGTTCAGCGCTGATGGGAAGCTCTGAAAGTACAAACAGACAATATGAACTTAGAAAGCTATAGTACAACTTTAAATGAGACCTTTTCAAGCACTGACTTCTATTTGTTTTTAGTGATTAGTGTTTCTTATAAGTATTTTCTTAATTATTTTAATGTTATATGAGAATATATTAACTAAGCCAATTATTTCTTCTTTTGCATCTTCTTGAGTAATCCAAATAACCCCAATTTTGATAATTCCAATTAAAATATACAACCAGAACAGAAATAAACACATCAACACCGTATAGGTAACTGTTATTAAAAAAAGATATATATTTTTAAAATGTTTTTGATATTAAATTGTTCATATTTATTCCAGACTAGATAATACCCGCAACTTCATCCGCGTTGCTTGATATATAAACAAAGTTTTCGTATGTGCGAAGCAAATAATACATCAAAATGATCGCAATCAAAAATATACTTTGCTTACAAAAGTTCTTTGTAAACAATGTTATTCGTTGCTCCGTTTGTAGCCAAAATATATAAATCTTTATATATAAAAATTACGTGTCACATTGTTTGTCCGCGATGAACTCCTAAAGTACTGAACTGATTTCAATGAAATTTTGCACCCTCTGTGCAGTTTGGTCCAACTTGAGAGATAGGATAGTTTTTATCTTGATAAGTGACGCTCAATATTTTTTTATTACGAATTTAAGGATTTTTTATATGAAAGGTCGTCGAAAAGGGTAGAACAACGCCTGCCTGTCCAGCTAGTTATCTTATAAAAAACGTAGTTTCTTAAAAATTTTAACAACATTATATCAAATGAAGATATTGCAATATTTTTTTAGATACGAACCAAGTGTCCAAGAAATAAAACTTAGAAAACCTAGGTAATTGAAATCTATCCAGTAGTCTTTCCATGATGCGCGCACAACTGCAAAGCTCTATCGTTTCATTTATATAGATTGATTCCAAATTCAAATAAAAGAAAAAAATTAAATGTTTTGGCAGTAAAAACTAAAAATTTTGTAACTCGCGAATTTTGTACTCCAGTAATTGTTTTTTATTTGTTTAAAACCGCTATTTACACAACATCTTTTTATTCAACTTGGGTTGATTGTGATAATTTGACATTTTATTGCAATGTAATGTCAACAATTTAACTGGAGAAGAGATGTTAAGAGCAGTGGGAATGCTGCAGTCTGGTGCTTTTCAATGTGACTTCACTGCGGCAATAGGCACCAGGTAAAATGTGATTTCAAGGTTGTGGTAACGTGTGCCATGGGAGAAGTGGCGGAGACACATCCAGGACCAAGCCGGATTATTACACCCAGACAAGACCGTTTTTTGCAAATTGCTGCGAGAAGACAACCAAATGTTATAGTCTGAACACGAGATGCTTGTGAGTGACCAAACTGTGAGGTGGACACAGCACGAAGCCAACCTTTATGCTCGTAGGCCACTTCGGTTTCCAGTTTTAAGAAGAGGAAATCGTGGACGAAGACTGCAATGGGCTAGAGAACATGTGAACTGGAAACCTCATCAATGGTCGTTGATGTTTTTCACCGATGAATCCCGATTTGGTTTTCATCCGGACTCAAGGAAAGTACGTGTTTGGAGAGTTCCTGGTCGTATTAGCCAGCTTCAACACCCTCAAGAAGTTTCATACCAAAGTGGTGCAATTATGGTGTGTGCAGAAATTCGGTTTGATGGAAGAACAGACTTCGTTTACATACAGGGTACTATGACTGCTGAAAAATACCGTAATGAGGTGCTGGAACCAATAGTCTTGACACATTGAACACAAAATTTCCTGCTTATGTATGACAATACTTGTTCAAATACGGCCACGGTGGTAACAGGCTGGTTGCACGAACATGATGTCATGGGCTTAGAATGGCCAGCGGAATCCCCAGATTTAAATCCCATTGTGCATCTCATTAGGACCTGGGACAATATTCCTCAACAGAATATTGACAGCCTCATTCTGCGTACACCCACCGGTGCAGATGCGGTTTGAACTTCATGGGTGCTTAATAATAGCCGCCCTCAAAAGGTTTATACTTTCCTTGATTTTTTAATTAAAAAAATAATATTCCATGATGTAAGTTTTCACACTACCGTTTTTTTTTCTTTGCAAAAAAATCTAAAATCTCATTTAAAGACAATATACATGTTAAATAAAATTTTCTTGGATATAAACGTCTTAAAAATAATGACATACTTTTTCGAGTTTAAAATATGTTATTATTATTTATTTTATTTGAAAATTTAACATTTTCCACATTGACTAAATTAAATATTTCGAAATACTTTATAGAATTAATAGTAACCGAGTTTTAATTTATTTTATTTAACGTAGTGCAGTGCCACTTGCAAAACAATGTGTTCGAAACGAATGAAGTTTCAAGCACTAAACACTTTAATATTTTTTGACTGATAGAGAGTTGAGACTATAATAATATTGACCACACACGATACCAGTGTTAACAAATTAAAAAAAAATCAATAAGTTCAAATTGTAAGCATAAATTTAGAAGTACCTGTGATAATCCAAAGGCAGCTTGTAAACAAGAAAACGAAAATGTTAAAATATATTATCTTTAACACTTATTTATTTATAAGATAACAACGGTGAAGATAGGCACCCCCTATAGATTGCCTCATAGTTATTTATTGTAATATTTTCCATAGTCACCAGGCTTGGCACTCGAGTTGGCAACCGGAGTTTTTTATACTAACTATACATTGATGAATAAAACTAGATATGCCGCGGTTGCTAACCATTATTCGTTATTCGAAAATGGTAAATAACGAAATGTAGCCTGTTTTTGTACTTGGTGAACCAACGCTGTATCTATATTATGGTTGTAGCGTGAATAAACCAGCTCGACCGGGTAAAAACCACGCTCTCACAGAATAGCAGCATAAAATAGCAACTTAAAGCTGGCGTATCTTGTATGGGTACACCAGCTTTAAGTTACACATTCCATCTTAGTCCTTAGGATGGTTAATTTAATATAGATGAAGATGTATATGGACTACAGCATTCACTTACTATTAGATGGAAAAAAATCTCAAGTGTAGTTCTAAAACAGTTGTGGATAAAATTAGGTTAAGACGACATTTTAGTAGTTTTTTGTACTTGGATGCTTATTGTTTAGTCCAATCAAAAATAATATTTTAGTTTCGAATAAACCAAAATTTGGTATTTTTCTCCTATTTCCAAAGCAAACCGATTTCGATACTAGCTAACAGCTGTGCGATAAGCAGCTTGTATGAAATGTATAGCGAGAGCTCTGAGCTAAAACAACTTAGATCGAAGGTATATTTGGAGTCACTAACAGGGACAAGGCGACAATATAATTAAAATATGCCCAGACCCAGAAACCAATAAATTTCCGCTTCAGCTTTTTTTTTATAGGATAAGGGTGACAAACGAGCACACAGTCCACCTGATGGTAAGTGGTTGCTGTGGCCCATAGATATCTACATTTATCCTCGATTACGAATCAAAATGCAGATGCGTTGTCACCCGTGAGGACTAAGAACGAATGCCTCGTTTCCAGTAAAAAGGGTCTCCGGTTCTCTACACTCACCATACGAAACACAGCAGCATTAAGCTGCTATTTTACGCTGGTATTCTGTGAGAGTGTGGTCCTTCCCCGGTCGAGCCGACCCATTCGAGTTACAACTATACCAGAAATATAGCTGCAGCATGGCTCTACCACGTACAAAAAGCTGCAGTTCGACTTAGGACTCACAGCCACCATTACTCACATACCAATATAATTTTAAAGTAAATAGATGAGAAATACATACGTGGACTGTAAGATAGTTGTTATATCCTGGGCCAGCAGGATCACTGCTAGTTTCCTGGTGTAACGACGAACACGACCGCGACTTGCTGAGATGCGGTGAAGATTCTTGCAGCTCCTTTTGAAGTTCCTTTCGCGCTAATCTTGGTGTCAGCGTGCTCTTTAGGATATATTTACTGTTAACCTTTTTCAGACTTACAACTTTCCTGCAAGAAGTTATTTATATAGAAGTAAGTATATACGTAAAAAACTATACACATTTGACTGATTATTTACTACAGTTGCAACTAAATTATAAGACAACTTTCTACTAAGCCAGCAATAACAGCCACAGCTACACACCAAAATTTTAATTTCAAATAAAGTTAACACTGTGTAAGCGCAGCATATAAAAATAACATGGCAAATTTATAGTTTTTAGTAGTTAATTTATACTCTAGTTGTAATTTATAGTTATATCGTATATTATAGGTACTAGATGTAAAATACCTAAAACCAGAAACGCAGAATAGCGTACAATGCGCAATGTATTGTTGTGAAATTTTTAAAAGTTAGAAAACTTTATTGCCGCTGAATTCCTCATGAACTCACCGCAGAACAAAAGCGAGCTCGAGTTGATTGGTGAACAAAAATTTTAAAGGATGACATTCTGACAGGAGATGAAACATGGATATATATTGATACATTGCGGCATGAAAGCAACAGTGTTATGTATGCGTGTTCTAAGACAACAGACGACAGCAAACCAACAAAATTGAGGCAGGCAAGAAGCATGGGCAGAAATTCTTTTTCTTTTTCTTTCCTTTTTTATGGGCAAAAATAGCATGGCCAAAAATAAAAAAAATTGATGAGAGGGGATAGCTTATAACTAGCACGCGAAAATCTTATCCTCAGACCAATGGTCCTTATGTTTACGAAAATTGTTTCAACTAATGAAAAAGTGTTTTAAATGTGATGGGGAATACTTTGAAAAGCAGTTTATGTATTAGTTTATATATTAATTGTTTTATTTATGAGTTATGCTAAACTTTTAGTGTACCTCGCATATTACGTGCTGACGTAGAAAAATCTTCAAGCCATAGCTAAGCTAGTTTAGATAGCAATTTACGTAGTAAAATCAACACAGGTGAGAAATCCAAAATATTATTACTTACTTTCTTCGCCATATTGTGTTGACAAACGCAAATTCAACAAGCGCTGAGAAAATAAATCCAGTGCAACCCAGGAACCAAATCTCACTGGCTTTTATGTAAGAGACCTTTGGTAGAGTTTTTGCTTGCGACGATGCGAGAGTGATAAATGATAACATGGTACTTGTTCCTGAAGACAAAAGTTTTTACATTAATTATTCATCTAATCAATAATTTTATTTTAAAACAATACGTTACAAAGCTGTTTACGTAGAATAAATCGATTGATACTGCAATCCATTTGTATGAAGTTATTAAATAATGAGTGTTTTTTTTATATACGATAAGGGTGACAAACAAGCACACAGTCCACCTGATGATAAGTGGTTGCCGTGGCCCATAGACATCTACATTTATCCTTGTTTGCGAATCAAAATGCAGATCCGTTGTCACCCGTGAGGACTAAGATGGAATGCCTCTTTTCCATTAAAAAGGGTCTCCGGTTCTCTACACTCACCATACGAAACACAGCAGTGTTAAGCTGCTATTTTACGCTGGTATTCTGTGAGAGCGTGGTTCTTCCCCGGTCGAGCTGACCCATTCGTGCTACAACTATACTACTAATATAGCTGCAGCATGGCTTTACCACGTAAAAAAAAATTGTGTTATCATTATATCCACATTTAAAGGTTGAAAAATCATTTTATTTAATATAATTAGCTTCACTTTTTTATTTTAACAGTTAAAAGTTATATTAACCATCTTTCAAGCACTGCACATAGGGATACCGAGATAATAGGAAACAATAATGTACTAGCTGTGCCCCGCGGTTTCACCGCAATATTCACACACGGTATGATATGACGCGTCTGAGCCGCGCGACATGACACCTCGGTTATTGAGGCGTTCACCGCAGATTTCTTCCGATTCCCATTGGGTGGCTAGGCGTCATTCGCGCGCCGAGCCGATATAAATTTACTTTTTAAATGCAAATATACTTACCTAAAGTGATTCTCGGAGCTGAAGCATCAGCTTGCAACCAAAATGTAACCCACGACATAGCGACTATCATCATAGATGGAATGAAGTAGTCCATCAAGTAATAACCAACCTCGCGTCCAAGTTTAAAGGTAAATTTGAGTGCACTGTAATTTCCAGCTGAAAATTTACATTATTGTTAAATCAAAAAACATACGTTAATAAACAGTTTTTATATAAAACGGACGATACAAACACATGAAAGGACATTACATCTACCTCCCCCCTGGCGCATATTGACAATGTCACCTCGAACAACTGATTCATTGGTCCAGTAGTCCAATAAGGAATATTCTGTTAAATGGAGCTCAGATGACAGTCGAACAGGATTATCTTTCTCCCACATTAAACGTAAGATCGACGCGTTATATTTCCCTGTAATGAAACAAAACATTAAAAAAAACCGGCAAAGTGCGAGTCAGACTCGCGCACCGAGAGTTCCGAACAAATCTGTAGGTATATAAGTTTAAAATTATTAAAAATATTTTTATTATATGATGTAACTAAAAATTTATGCTTTTTGCAATTTTTCCTTTATCTGTGCTATAAAACGTTGCTTCGTACCAAATTTCAAGATTCTGAGTTCACGGGAAGTACCCTGTAGGTTTTGAATCCCTTGCGAATGTCGAAAATTTACGGCATAAACGGCTGTATCTTTTGATTGCGTTGGCTCAGAAGTTTGATTTTTTCACAGATCTAAGGGACAGTAGACTTGAGTATTTGATATGAATTTCAGCTTGATACCTCCACGTGTTCCTGAGAAAAAGGGTCTTGACAGATAGACAGACAGACAGACAGACGGACAACAAAGTGATCCTATAAGGGTTTCGTTTTTTCCTTTTGAGGTACGGAACCCTAAAAATCGCGTAAATAGTTTTTGTATGCATTATTTGAGCATACTTAATTGTATTAAGGAGTTAAGTAATTAACTAAATTTTAAATTAATTTTAAGCGACTTAATTTTAATATGCGTTAAGGCCATAGTTTGTCCAAAATGTACAATTAATACAAGGTACATTCCTGTCATAAATTCAGTGATTTGATTCGTAGTGAGATTTTAAACGAAATAAATGAGGGAAGTTAAAATACCTAAAAGACTGAGGGTGAGAAGATGAATATGACTTAAGAGCAATTTTGTTTCATGAACTAGCAGGAGCAGATAAACAAGAGTTTCTCTGCACTAAGGATGTCAGAAGAATCTTTTAATTACTTCTTGTCTAAAAAACATAAGATACCAACATGTATTAAAATCACAATTAAAATTATAATATATTGTGTTATATTTTCTCGCTACTGGAAATGGTTTTTTTTCCCTATAAGTATTGTTAAACAAACTTTACCGTAGTGATATATTAACATAGAACGTATCTTTCGAGTCTTCCGACACATAAAATATTAACGTGACGCTTAGCCAAACTTATATGTACATACAATAAATCTGTAGAAAAGTCGCGTCTGTAATTATAATATACTCTTGAAAAAACAAGTCCAGGGGACTAAATAAAGGGTACTGAAGCCAAATAAGTGGTTGTTAAAATTTTTATGTGTCTGTCTGTGTATTCACCTTTCACGCAAAAACTACTGGACCGATTTCCGTTAAATTTTATATGTAGGTAGTTACTGGCCCGGGCACAGAATAAATAATAGTACTACGTACCTGGGGCAAATTTAGGCTACTTTTTATCCGATTACAGAATTTCAAAAAAAGAAGGTTAAGTATTTTTCTTGCTTTAGATGTTAATTTTCTATTATTTATGATTATGTTATTTAATAGGCGGGATGATGGTTTTATTTTTCAAGTAAATTATACCATATTCATAAATAAATTAGTTTTATCCTTTTCATAATAATTTGAAACGCTTGAGCTTTGAAACTTAGGAGCCGTGTTAGCTCAGATGGTTAGCGCTCGCTCTAAATTTCACAGTACGCGAGCAACCCGCGTTCGATTCCTGCCGGCACCAATGAAATTGTTAATTACAATTTTAAGTACTGATTTACAACGTGCTCAGCGGTTAAGGAAAACATCGTGAAGAAACCTGCATGTCTGAGAAATAAGAAAAATAAATCGAAGACATTTGAAGTTCGCTGACACGTATCTATTGGGGCAGCGCGGCGGACATTTCCTTGCCCTAAAACCCTCTCAGAAATGAGAGGAGGCCTGTGCCCAGAAGTGGGATTATAACTTTAACTTTTAACCAATAAATTAAATAATATAAATAAATTACATTTATATGTTTAAATTATTAGATTAATTAAATTATTTAAAAATCCTAACGTTTAATTTTTTAGTTTTTTCGTTATTTCATTTTAAAAGTTTAAAAATTTAAATATATAATAGTGACCAAACGTATGAAACATGATATGTTTTTGATTAAATTACTAATCTGTACGTAAACTGAATAAAACTGGTCTGCCTGCAGTCATTGCAAAATTCTCATTAAATCATTATTTCGTGAAATGGTGTCATTTCATGATATTTATCATTGTTTGTTGACCATGTCATGATATAGTTTAACCAAATTAATGAATAGATATCGTTTAACGATATTAATAACTAAACACAACATTGCTATTTCATGATAATATGGTCATATCGTCACATAGTTTTTCACCGCTAGCGGAGGTGATAGCATGTTTTAACAGAAACAGAAAATTTAACAGAATCAACATCACTTTATGCCTTATTTATAATTATAATAGATAAATGTTCGCGGCTTTAGCTGTTGCACCTCAACCTTCTTTCGCTGATATTATTAGATAAGAATAATAGCGCCATCTATTTTCTGCTATATAAACTAATGAAAAACGACTGATAAAATTAAATTTTAGAATGCTACTGAATACTTATTCGTGCAGCATCAAAAATTGTCACACTTAAAATATCTAGACCGGCGGCCATTATCGCGATGATTTACCACAATTACCACTTTGGCAAAATGGCTAACGACATTTTTATACACAACACGTGTGTTTTGTGTGCTCAGTATCCAGTACTGTGTACACAAAACTGAGATTAAGAGAGAAGCTCCTTAGTTGAATATTTTGGGTGTCTGTTGGCATACCTTTCATTTTACCAACTACATTTGTTATCAAGTTATCTGATGTAAATAATTGAAAATTAAGTGCACTGTGAGATTTTATCTTTATTTGATGGAATAGTTCATGGCATCGTTGGGTTTCTAATTACTAGGTAGATATGGAGATATGGTCAACGATGGTGAAAAAGCTTTATTTCAGTTTTTATGAACTTTATTTAAACAAATACGAGAGCCAGGTAGGTCGCCTTGAGATTTCATCATGGCATTGGAGAAAACGTGTACGAGTCCTTTAAGGATAAAAAAAAATAAAAAAATCTGAAATGTAATGTAAAAAGTGTAATTTAAAAATTAAAAAATATGAAATGTGAACGTTAATACGCATTGAAGCATTGCGGCATGCCTACCCTTTTCTGCTCACTATAGGTAATGAGGAACCCTGTGCATAGTAGTGAGACGTATGTAAGCTGCTACTTTAATTTTATATCTTTAATGAGACTTATCAATCAGTTTGTCATTTAAGATAGTTTTCATATTATCAGACAAACTAAGATTTTTGTGACAATCCTCATTTCATAGCTCACATGAGTATATATATATATATATATATATGAATCTTGCGAAATAATACTTTAATTATTATCAAAGATTTAATTTATTTTATTTTACTTGTCAAAGGCGGTAATCAAACTGATCCAAACGTAAATTTTATAGTACATAAGCATTATTATAAATTTTAACATATATTTAATTTGCAATTTGAAGTGTCGATTTACCATGTTCTAGGCGGTGAAGTAAAAGCGGCATATCTGAGAAGTTCCCCAGTCGAGGTGATCGCGCGTTGGGTTCAGCGCAGTGAACACTTTTTTGGCCAAAAACTCTGTGGCCTGTGCCCAGTAGTGACATGTATGTAGGCAGTTACTGTTTTAGTTTTAATGGGACAGTTATGCTGTTTTTCTTTCATTCATATTTTCGGAGAAGTTACTTTTTTTCTTTTCACTCTACCGTTAATATTAACGATAGCGAAGATTCGAAAGAGTAGAACTCATCATCGTTATCATTACAACCTATCAAAAGTTCACTGAACTGAACATAGGCCTCCCCCATAACTTGTCAAATAGGCTGGATATTTGCTAGAGTTATAGCCACGCTTGGTAGGCGGGTTGGCAACCGCAGCCTTTATTATTTTGAACTGTTATCAGGAAGATGCTTCTCCTGTTTGTTTTCCCCTATCGCTTCTTACGACACACACGGAAATATATGAAGTGGCGGATTCTCTTTCTACGCCACAACAAACCGAACATTTTTCTATCATGAGTGTAGTTTTACCCACGTTCACTTTGAACAGAACTCCATTTGCAATAAAACCGATCTTAAAGGTTTTATCGCGTTTAATTTTAACTTTTATCATTCTTGATGTTTCGGGAACTTTACACTTTACATTCAAATAACCCATGGCCACGGTGGAGGGGGGGGGGGCGCTGAGTTGTATGACGTCCTGATGTCATAGTTTACGAAGACTACTATAAACTTTTAACTAAAATGTTTGATCCGATCTATGTAGAACGAGCTTACAGTATCTTAAAGTCTTGTAGTAGTATGCTTGGATTTGAATTTCATTTTATTAATTATGAGATCCCAAGTAAATGGTATCACCCAACCATCTTCTCTATTAAAGTTAGGGTGTTTTTAATTTCAATAGCCTCGCGAATCATCTTTGGTAGGAATCGGTGTTCTATTTCGAAGATTTGTTGTCTATCAGATCTGATATACCTAATGGTTGGGACGATACTGAATATGTTGACATACTTCAGACTTCCCGGAGCGTCGGTGCTTTACATCAGCGATATGTTCTTTTACGCGGATTTTTATGGAACTCTTTTCCAAAGATGTGTACAAAACACACATAAAAAAGTTAAAATATGATAAAATACGTATCTTTTTATTAAATGTGTAGTACTAATCATTATAGTACTGCATTTATGAAATTTTGAAGTATACTCGAACGTAGAAAAGATATCAGCATCTATTTTAATGGTGTCAATCAATATTAAATGGGGCCAATGATATGAACCAAATATCGTAAATTAACATTATTCCGTAAATTGATAGAAGACCATGAAATCTTTTTATTTTTGTTAAAACTAAATTAACTTTAATTATGAATGAATGTAAAGAGTAAAATCTCTAATTTATCTTTGGGAATTCAACAAAATTCTTTGAACAACAGACCCAGACACCGAAGTGACTATAAAAGTTTTTTTTTTTATAGGATAAGGGTGACAAACGAGCACACAGTCCACCTGATGTTAAGTGGTTGCTGTGGTCCATAGACATCTACATCTATCCTCGATGACGAATCAAAATGCAGAATCAAAATACGTTGTCACCCGTGAGGACTAAGATGGAATGCCGCGTTTCCATTAAATAGGATCTACGGTTCTCTACACTCTCCATACGAAACACAGCAGTGTTAAGCTGCTATTTGATGTTGGTATTCTGTGAGAGCGTGGTTCTTCCCCGGTCGAGCCGACCCATTCGTGTTACAGGTATACTACTAATATAGCTGCAGCATGGCTCTACCACGTTAAAAAGTGATCGAATTTTGCTAAATTAGGCATAAATAGCATTCAATGATGTTTCTAAATTGAAGCCCACGCGAGCGAAGTCGCGGGTAAAAAGCTAGTATTTATTCAATAAATAAATTTATTAAAAAAAATTATTATCTAAATCATGCCTATCCTAATATTTCAAATTAATAATTAATAAATAGAAAAGTTCTATTCTGCTTGTGTACTTGCACACTAAATTTTAACTTGCAACTTCTTACTGAATACATTGTTTACATTAATTAAGTTATGACTCATGACTTAAAATTAATTAAAATTTAGTTAATTACTTCACTGTTTAATACGTCTTAATCAGCCATATAAGGTCATAAAGTTTCGAATAGAATTATAATGAACACTATGGATTTCGAACTTTATAGAATACAGATAATCGGCACAGCTAGTTTATAATTCATGGCAGGTATCTAACAAAGTTTTTTATTATTAAGCTTTTATGCCTGCGCATGTAGGCCAAAGTGAATGGCCAGCTAAATTATCGCCAGCTTCATCAACACAGGTGTTTTATATACGAGTATGAGCGTGCATGGAGCTAATCTAATCGTCCGTTTTTAAAATCTGTGACGAGACACAAACTTATGATCCAATCGCGAAACATCCAACGTTACACTTATAGTGTTGTTTTGTTTTTTACTTAGGACCCTTCAAGAAAAGAGCCTATTCTTTTTTAAATGGCCGGCAACGCATCTGCAAATCCCTTGGTATTGCAGTTGTTCATGGGCGGCGGTAGTCACTTATCATCAGGTGAGCCGCGTGCTCGTTTGCCCTCTCTTACATAAAAAAGCGAGAGGTCACGCATACACCTGGTAGTTTTTTGGTCGATCGTCGTTAAATAATAAATACGTTTTATAATTTTATACGAATCGATGTCGATTTCATCCATTTTAAATTAGTCTGGTTGAAGAACACTTCTAAAGACATGACTTGACAAATTACTCTGCGCGCCGGACGTAACAAGTGTTCTAAGCGTGACCAATTCCACAATTGACCGATCACAACCGTCCATAATGCGCAGGCAGCTTAATACTTTGATCCGCATTGGTAACTAAAGAATAATATACGCCTATAATATACTGAAATCACGTTTATTTTTTACGAATAAACATGTAACTGTTGCTTGTTAAAACAATTTGAAAATAACAAGCGGCTAAATTAAAAATTTTGTACAACCGACTTCAATATAAATTATTAAGGATGACTAAAAACTACTGGTGAGACCTTGATCAAATATCGGACCATATGAGAAGCATCAGCTTTCAAATAAAAAAAGAATCAGCAAAATCAGTTCCTTTTTGAAGTCGGTTAAATAGCTAAACTGTACTCACAGCTCTCCAGATTCATTGAACACGTTTGATCGTCGAATGGGAACTTCTGTAAATTCATCCAACAGTAAAGTACTGCTTGCATGCGCCGACTGAATAACACCTCTCCATCGGGTGCTATAGAGATGAGGACGTCTTTGCTGTCGGTGCCCATTAGGCTCGACGATTGCTCGTTGGACATGTATAAATGAGGCACCCAAATCCGTTGCCGCAGGTCGTTCTCTCCGATAATTTTTGTACGTTCTGGTGAATACAGCGTGTACGCAAGCCGTGCATCCGTCCATCGTAGTTGCAGAAGAAAGTGCAATTTGAAGTTCTGTAAAAGAATTGTGTAGATTTATAACTTTATATTACTTTAATGTCAAACGTCTGGATTATCTAATAGCCTAGTGACGTAGTTAATGACTTTTAATAGTTTTATAGACACTGAGGTTTGAAACCCACCTGAACGATTTTGACCCCGGCATCATAACCTAATAGTTAAAGTCTGTTATTTATTATTGAAGTTACACTTCTTTTGGCGCGTTTGAGAAAAATGATGAGAGTGAATTTTTTACGATGCGCACGCACACCGACACCTAAAAACGACACCATGAAGTTGTTACGATGCACGCGCACACCGAAACCTAAAAGCGACAATTTTAGTTGGTAATTGTCTGTCAACTGTCAAGTTTTCGTGAGAACTGATAACTATATTCAAAGTAGTTATTCAAATATAATAATTAAATCTATAAAACGGTTTTATTTTAGTTATTTTTAATTTGTTACGCTAAAAAGTATAATTTCTTACGTGCGTACATAAGTACACACACACGTTTTTTTTATTTCTTTATAATAAATAAACATATATTATTCTTTTAACTTCCCCGACAAATAAGGCAAAGCTCTTATTTGTACGCGGGGACAATTAAGGATTTTTTAATTTACAATTATATTTCTTTCCTTTTTCAACAATAACAGTCTTAAATTGTTTTATTGTAAAATGTTTTTAAAAACTATGACTATATTTGCTTACTTTTTAATTTTTTAATAGCATGTAATAATTTTATAAAAAAAAATAGCTTTATCCCGTAGCTTCGCTCGTATGCACTTAGTAAAATTTGTAACACGGTAAATTTTGGGAAATTAAGTGGGAAGCTAAAAAATGGTCGTGTAGAGTGTCACGTGTCATATAAGAAAGAAAGAAAGAAACATTTATTTGCACAGAATACAGGTGGTACCAGATTTAACAGCGGTGCATAGTTCATGCTATATTCTGCCTTTAATAGGCATGCAAATATTTATAATTATATAAAACAATTAAAATACTATTATGTTACTTACAAAAATGTGAAGTTATGTTAGTATTTATCATAAATTATATACAAAATATTATTATTATTATTATTATATATTATTATTATTATATTTTTTTATTATATTACATTTAATTATTATTATATATTGCTATTATTATATTACATTTTATTCAATATTACAAATAATCATATACATTAGTTTTATGTTGCATGAACTCTTGTATCGTATAAAAACACTTATCCACTAGCCATTTTCTTAACTTAATTTTAAAATATTTTAATGGAAGTTCCCGTAGACTCTTAGGCAGTTTATTAAAAACTGATATGCACAGATGAATACATTCCGTTTATTTAAAGCTGTTCTACAAGATGGAATCATTATTTTAGTTGGATCTCTTGGTCTGTATTTACTAAAATGATCCCCCTTGAATTTAAAAAGATCGTTATATTTCCTTACAAAGACTGATACCTCAAGAACATACATGCAGGTTAATGTCAGTAAATTAAGTTTTTTAAATAAAGGTTTACAGGAGTCAAGTGGACTTGCTCCACAAATAGCTCTTAAACATTTTTTTTTGTGCAATGAATGCTTGACCAACATCAGTCGAATTCCCCCATATTATTAACCCATATCTAAGGATTGATTCTACATAGCCTTTATACGCTATACCTGCAGTCTTTTCATCTGATACGGTCCGAAGCTTTCTAAGGGCATAAGAAAATCTGTTTAGTTTGAGACAAGCATCATTTACATGTTGTTTCCAATTACAAAATCTGTCCAAAGTTATACCCAAAAATTTAATGCTGTCAGCTTCTTCTATATTGTCATTTTCTATTTTTATGTTAATGTTATTATCAGGGTGTTTACTTTTATTCGTACCAAATTTTATGAATTTTGTTTTTGACAGATTTACATTTAATTTGTTTGCTTTTAGCCATCTTAATACAGATTGTACCTCTTTACTTATTTTAATTTCGTGAGATGTATCTTGATCCTTATATGGCACTATTATAGATATGTCGTCTGCGAATAGAACACTTTGACAATTTATTGAATTTGGTAAGTCATTAATGTACAGTAAGAATAATAAGGGACCTAATACGCTCCCTTGTGGAACTCCATGTTTATTGACCCTGGATGGAGATCTGTGTACACTGCATTCATGACTGTCATTTAAAGTAGTGATTTCAACATATTGTTTACGATTGATTAGAAAACTTTTTATCCAGTCTAAAGCTACACCTCTAATGCCATATTTTTCGCATTTGTTAAGCAATATAAAATCCCTTTGAAATACTGTTTCAAAAACAAAGCGTCTTCACATTCAAAATCTGAAACAATTTTACAAAATTGCTGGCCCCAGCTGTATCTACAAAGGTATAATTTCAATAATCTAAAAGATCTCAATTATAAATTAATAGATTTGCGTTATTTACTTTTTACTCTTTCTATTAGTATAGTACGTGAAGGTCAGGTCATCCGGTTAATATGGTCACTTTACACTTTATATATGGTGAAGCAGTATGTACTTATACGTACATAATATTTCAATGTCAAACCTTTAATTTTTGGGGAAAATAATGAAATTGCATGGTGCGAGGTCTGGACAACACTTTTTCAGAATCCAAAATGACTGTCTTGTTCGCAATATGCGCCAAAGTTCAAAGCGAAGCAGCATTGTTATGGTGCAGTAGGATGCGACTTCACGGTCGTTTTTCCCTAACTTTTTTAAAGACTGTGGGCAAACAAATGGTGGTTTACCACTCAGCATTAACTGCCTTTTGCTCATCAAGTGATATCGTGCAGACAGGACCCGTTTGGGAAGAAAAAAAAACGCAATATTTTTTTTACCTATTTTTGCCTGCCTCAATTCTGTTGGTTTGCTGTCGCCTGTCGCCTTTGAACACCCATGCAAAAGACTGTTGTTTTCTTTCAGGAATGTAACAATATATCCGTGTTTCATCTCCTATCTTAATATCATACACAGCATTTGAACCTCCGTGATCACCTAACACAACATTTTTCGTACAAGTATAGAATAATAGTTTTTTTTTTTATAGGATTGGGTTACAAACGAGCACACAGTCCACCTGATGGTAAGTGGTTGCTGTGATCCGTAGACATCTACATTTATCTTCAAAAAGAATCAAAACGCAGATTCGTCGTCACCCGTGAGGACTAAGATGGAATGCCTCTTTTCCAGTAAAATGGGTCTCCGGTTCTCTACACTCACCATACGAAACACAGCAGTGTCAAGCTGCCATTTTACGCTGATATTCCGTGAGAGCGTGGTCCTTCCCCGGTTAAGCCGACCCATTCGTTCTACAACTATACTACTAATATAGCTGTTATTAGTCGTAGTTTCAACTACCTAACTGATTTCTATGATAGGAGATGTGGACGGCTGTGGACGGTTGTGGGTTGATAAAGAGAGAGTATTTTGTTTGATATGTTCGATATTGCTGTGCCTAATGAATTTAATTAAGTAATAGCTTACCAAATCGTGTGCTTCAGCAGGTTGAATGAAGTAGATGTAGGCGCTGGCGTGGACATACACCACTTCGCCAGTCTGGTATGTGGGTAGCAACAGCCGGTCGTAGCGGCACTCGTTCGCCAGCCTCGACATGAACTCGGACTGCGTGTAACTATCTCCATTGTCGAGCGATGGACACACCAGCGCTGGATTCTGTCTAAAAATGGAATTGCGTCTCACTGCTTTTTGAAAAAAAAAAAAGAAAGAAGTATCTTAAGAAGTAGAAATATCGCTATAAGGAGATAATTTTTTTATTTAACCCTTAAGTAGGAGCCCTAAAGTAAAGCTCCCGAAACATCGGGATTTGTAAAATTTAATGCGATTTAATCCAATTCCTATTTTTATTACCGTAATTAAATTTATATTTGCCTAATTAATTTTATATTTTATTACTACGAGTAGCTGGCCAGGCAGACGTTGTCCTGCCTTTTCAGAAGACCATTCCTATAAAAAATTCCTAAATTCACATTAAAAAATATTGAGGGTCACTTATGGGGATAAAAACTATCCTATCTCTCAAGTTGGACCAAAATGCACACAGTTTAAAAAATTTAAAAAAATTTTTAATCAGTTCAGTAGCTTAGGAGTACATCGCGGACAAACAATGTGACACGTAATTTTTATATATAAAGATATAATTTTGTTCAAAGAAAATAATTTAATTTAATTTCTAATCAAAATTCAGTTTTAATTCGACATTCTACGAACAATATCCAAATACTAGGTCGGTCATTCTGTCTTCCTAGTCGGAATGCTAGCGGTCTCCTTGACGTTTGTAGGACAGACGAACAGACAGACACGGTACGGAACGCTAAAAGGAAAAAATGTGTACCCACATATAAAGTTCGTGAGTAGGTAAAGTTCTTATAAGTATTTCTCTAACGAAAGAGGCATTGTAGGACGAACATACATAACTTTGCTGTGAAAATGAAATGTTCTCAAATACATCGTTCTGCATACCGGTCAATATACAGGGTTATTTTTGAAAGAGTAACCAAATTTGAAACTTAAGTTCAAATATATAAATAATGATATACCGTTATTACATTTATTGAAAATACAATTCTAAGACTTCTACTTTTATTTGAAATTATCCCAAATTGAATGTTATTTATTCACAAAACGTTTATGCCTACCGATCGGCCCTTACGAATGAAATTTTTTTAAATTAATTAATTTACTATTTGCCTGTATTACTTAATTTGAATCTTCTCTGCAAATTTCGCCGGTTATTGCAAAATAACCCTTGTACATAGGTCGTAAATTCTAATACTAATGGTTGAAATAAAGAGATGAAGTTTTAATGTAAATATTAAGACGGCATTGTATTTGTTCCCATAACCTAGTGATATTGCTTAGTCCACTCAAAATAATTGAATATTGAAAAAGTAAAAACCAACTTCGAATAATAATAATAATTTTCATTCAATTTCAGAAAATGTTTAAAATTATGTGAAAATTATTTTATTTTAGTTTTTTTTTCCCATAAACTAAATCTACCACACATGAATTGCATATTATGGACGAACAAGCAGACAAGGATCTATTATTTATTTATTTTTTTATATGATAGGGTGACAAACGAACACACAGTCCACCTGATGAGTAAGTGGTTGCTGTGACCCATAGACATCCCACTTTTATCCTCAATAAAGAATCAAAATGCAGATGCATGGTCACCCGTGAGGACTAAGATGGAATGCTTCTTTTCCAGTAAAAAAGGTCTCCGGTTCTCTACACTCATACTAAACACAGCAGCGTTAAGCTGCTTATTTTACGCTGGTTTTCTGTGAGAGCGTGGTCCTTCCCCGGTCGAGCCGACCCATTCGTGCTACAACTATACTACTAATATAGCTGCAGCATGGTTCTACCACGTATAAAATCATTTGCAGGTTAAAGCACAGAATAAATACCTAATAGGTTATAGTACGTAGTACTATTTTTCATTCTGTGGTTATAGGTACAATCACTTTTTTCTTGCTGAAAGCGAACCCGCGATCTGAATTCGCTGTACAATAAGCAACTACTACAGGTAGTAGTACTGTAGTTTTCAAAATTTAAGCCCACGTCGGATATTAATTGATGAGGAATCTCTGATGTCAACATTAATTACCTTCACTTATCTTCAAAGTTTCCTCATTTGTTTTATTCGGAAAGTGTGTAGGCCATAATAGTCATTAATCATTGTTGTAAAATGTCGTCATAGTTAGGGCTTCTTATCGTTACTTTTGCGGCAATAGCGTCTGAATTAGAAGTTATTTCCCTTACTACGAAACATCTCAAATGTTTTCACTTTTCACATAGGTTTTAGGTTAATAGAAGTATCTTCTTATATATTTAAAAAAATCCTCTTTGATCACACACAGCAGGAGTTTGAAGGAATAGAATAGAATATGTACATAATACTTACTGAAAGTAAATTTTTTATTTGTCACTGGTTTGAAAATATCTCTTGAAAGTGTTCTGTGGAAAGTGTGTTTCGGAAAGAAGCATCGCAGCAAGAAACTCATCGGCATAAAATTTTACAATCATATTATACAATTCTTTACATAAATTATTAAAGAATTCTACTGACAAGTCTACGGTAAAACTGGCCGGCCAACGCCGTAACCCAATTTCAGTCTAAAGGACATTAGTTTGTCAAAGCAAAGTCGACTAAGAAACAGGTTTTGTAACAAATGCTTTGCTTCTGCGTGCGAACGAATAATACTTTCGTGAAAGGGAAAATCAGCTTGGGACAAGAAGAGGCTGACTATTCGAGTCAAGGAATCGAATTAAATATTTTACCAGTTTACACGGAAACCTTGACAAAATTCAAAAACCTTTGTTATGATAAATTTAGAGAGTATTTCGGTGAAAGAAGCAGGGGAAAAGGAATATGGTATAAAACAATTCAAAGCCTCTGCGGATACCGTGGTATAATAATATTGAAATGAATAGAAATCATATCCCGGACGTCAGTCTGAGCGGGATTAGAATGGCCCTCCAGCACCTTAAAAACGGCAAAGCTCCAGGCGAGGATGAAGTTACAGTGAAGCTTCTGAAAGTGGGTGGAAAACCAGTACTTGAAATCCTTCAGAAGCTCTTTAATTCCGTCCTCCATGGTGGGACTACTCCGGAGGCATGGAGCAGAAGTGCGGTGGTCTTGTTACTTACTTGTTACTTACTACTTGTACAGACCGATTTCGAAAGGATACGATATCAACATCAATGGCGAGTGATGTACTCACCTTCGATTTGCCGACGATATAGTTCTTATGACAGAATCGCTGGAGGACCTCAATAGTGTCTCACAAGGGATAGGTCTTAAGATGAATATGGACAAAACAAAGATCATATTTAATGTCCACGGCACACTTATGCCGGTAGTTGTTGGGAGCACTAGCTCGAAGTTCTTGACGAGTATGTTTACCTGGGACAAATAGTCCGACTAGGTAAGTCCAACTTCGAGCGAGAGGTTTCAACTTGTCTGAGCACTTGGAACACACTTCGGACACACAACTTGGGAAATTACGATACATCTTCTCGTCAGGCATACCTCAAAACCTGAAAACGAGATTGTACAACCACTGCGTGTGCGTGTGCGTGTTGCTACAGTGATGACTTATGGATCTGAGACGTGTTCCTTCACTGCTGGCCTTATGAGGACGGTGAAGATCGTTAAGCGAGCTATGGAGAGGGCTATGCTAGGGGCTTCTCTGCGTGATAAACTTAGAAATGGGGATATCCACAGTAGAACTAGAGTGAACATTCATAGCTCAACGGATTAGTAAGCTGAAGTGGCAATAGGCCGGCCATAGAGCTCCGAGAACCGACAACCGGTGGGAAAAAAGGTTCTCGAGTGGCAGCCTCGTACTGGTACGCGAAGTATAGGGCGTCCCCCACTAGATGGAGTGATGACCTCTTAAGACATGCAGGAAGTCGATGGATGCTGGTGGCTCAGAACCGTGCTTTGTGGCATTCTTTGGGGGTGGCCTATGTTCAGCAGTGGACTTGTGAAGGGCTGTAATGATGGTGATGATGAATACAAACCATAAAATTGCTACTCATAGGTTCTGGACACTACCCCAATAAAAAAATTGTATTTTTGATGAAAAAAGCAGACTCATCCAATTGCGATATTTGTCACATTATAAAAGATGTCCAACACTATGCTATGCTATGCTAGCAGAATGTGTCAAAAATCGAAGGGAAAGGGAGAATCTAGTGCAAAAATTCAATATTAATTTGTGTGAAACGATAACATTAATTTGGGTTTTGAGTATACTTACCACACTCAAGGGTAGCAAAATCATTAATTTCCATATGTTTACCACATTGATTCCCCCCTTTCTAAATACTTAGGATTTGTGTAATAAGAACACGGTATGTTACGATAAGGCTGACATATCCTTGTAGGATATGGCAGCCTTATCGTATCCTACAAGGATATGTCAGCCTTATCGTATTTTTTTATTTTTATACGTGGTAGAGCCATGCTGCAGCTATATTAGTAGTATAGTTGTAGCACGAATGGGTCGGCTCGACCGGGAAAGGACCACGCTCTCACAGAATATAAGCGTAAAATAGCAGTTTAACACTGCTGTGTTTCGTATGGTGAGTGTAGAGAACCGGAGACCCTTTTTACTGGAAACGAGGTATTCAATCTTAGTCCTCACGGGTGACAACGCATCTGCATTTTGATTCGCAAACGAGGATAAATGTAGATGTTTATGGGCCACAGCAGCCACTTACCATCAGGTGGACTGTGTGCTCGTTTGTCACCCTTATCATATAAAAAAAGGATAAAAGCCTTTTTAAATCAAAATAGATAATAAAAAACTTAATGATTAGTAACTAGCTTACATTTTATACTAAAGATTTTAAAAATAGTTTTGGCGGGAACTTGACCGCCGGTGGATTGCTGCTTGAAACAAGAATAAGGATTCTTGTTTAAATTATGGTTTGAAGTAGATTTTGATGCATAAAAGTGGTACGAATTTTCGTATAAGATGACTGCGCATGTGAAAGTGGGTGCGAAGAAACAGGTGATGCTATACTAATCCACAATCATCAACTGTCTGTTGGCTCAAGGTGCCGTCAAATTCTCCCGAAAACTTCGCAATGCGGCTCATCAACATATTGTGGAGACGTTTTAAACAAATTATTATTTATCAA